CGCGATCGCCCAGCTGGAAAGAGAATTCGTGAGCAGCTGGCCACACGCAGCGACCGCGCGCGGCAGGGTACCTGTCGGACTGGCCCTTCTCCGCGGCCCGCTCGGTGCCTCCTGTCTCACGGGACGCGGCCGGCTGGCATCGTTCCACGACCGGATGCCGAATGGTCACGTCGAGCAGGCAGTCCGGACTCTCTGTCATCCCGTGGTACCCCACATCCAGTCACGCTTCAGACGCCGCCGGGAGATTTCCGGAACGAACACTTCCCGGCAGACATGCCCCTCCCCGTCTCGGCCAGGATGCCCCCGTAGACGTCGGCAGTGCTTTCGTGGCGAATGTTACGGAAGGGGCCTCACTCGCATTGTGCCGCGTGGTCGGCGCGCTGGCCAAGCAGCTCGCCGCAGGCATCGCCCGTGGCAGCCTTCTCGTGAAGGCACGTCGTGCCTGGGCAAAGGCCAGCCGAGCGGCCGATGCGAAGCCGCACATCCTCCGTCCACTCTGTGTCGCTGAGCGCGACGCCCGGCACGCTGAGCTCCGAGACGAGGGCAGTCCCAAAGTCGGCCCCACCGCGCTGAGGAGTTGCGTCCTCTCTGTGCCCGGCACGGTCGAGCTTCTCGCAGCGGCGGAATGCTGCAAGAAGGCACGGAGCAGGGGCCGGTCCAGAGCCGCGGGACGGAGAGGACCAGCAGCGGCCGCATCGGCCCATGGCGAACTTCAGCACGGAGGCCCCCATAGCGAACTCCAAGAGCGCCTCTGGCTGCAAGACAGTCCGCACCTCCTGGCACAGGTCGTCTTTGCAAAACGACCGTGCCAAGGCGCCGCTCCAGAGGGCGGCCACCCAAGGCCGCTCAGTGCCCTGGGGCCACGATGAGCATCAACCTGCGAGCGTGCGCGGCCCGTCCAGGTCGGAGCACAAACACAGAACGTGACCATTCCTCCAACCGCTCGGCCCGCATACGGGCGCAGGCTTAATTGCCGCGGCTTGCCGCCTCGCCAAGGGGGGGGCGTTACGACGAGCCGTCACTTCATCGGGATAGCCGCTACTTCTCATCCTCCTCCTCCTCCTCCTCCTCCCCCCCCCCGCTCCTCCTCCTCCTCCTCCTCCTCCTCCTCCATCCTCCTCCTCCTCCTCCTCCTCCTCCTCCTCCTCCTCCTCCTCCTCCTCCTCCTCCTCCTCCTCCTCCTCCTCCTGCTCCTTGGCCATGGTGCCCTGCCCCCCGACGGTGCTCTGGTGCGGCGGCGCTGGCGGCGGGCGGGCGGCAGGCGCGCCCGCATGAAAGGCGGCAGGCGCCCCGGGCGCGACCCGCGCCCTCTGCGGCGCCAGGGCGCGGCCGGGGCTGGAGCACACCGGCCGCTGGCCGCCGTCGTGGCCGTCGTCGGCGCATGCCTCCGTCTTCGCCGTCTCGCCTCGCCTCGTCGAAGACGGATGAAGAGGAAGCGGAGGAGGAGGACTGGACTGGACTGGACTGGACTGGACTGGACTGGAGTGGACTGGACTGGACTGGACTGGACTGGACTGGACTGGACTGGACTGGACTGGACTGGACTGGACTGGACTGGACTGGACTGGACTGGACTGGACTGGACTGAACTGGACTGGACTGGAGGGTGCGGCCTGTGTGAGCACGAGACTCCGACCGCTGCTTCTCTGAAGGCTCTGCTCAGAAGAACAAGTAGAACACGTAGCACAAGTGGAAACAGGATACCGCCTGACAGAATGACAGCTCAAACCACCTTGATGCACATAAAATATCAAACTCAGATACTCCCAATATTGGTTCTTTTCGACTCGTGTCGCATGATGCGCGTGACCCAGGAAGAACGCTGCGCCTGCCAAGCGTCTCGGTCCAAAAGGGTGCGACAGGGAGGAGATACTTATGATGGAAATGGAGAAAGGAGGAGGTGATGAAGAACAGAGGACAGAGGAGGAGGAGGAAGAGGACGCAAGTAGACCCAGGACGCATCAATGATGCTGCGATAAAGCATCGCTCCAAATTCCCGTGTGGTTCTATGCGGGAAGGACCCCTATTGCAAAACAACCCCCTGGTAATCCTCAATCATGCCAACATGATCGACCCACGAACCCGGAAAGGAATATAGAAATGTGAGGCATGGCAACGTTTCAAAAACACTTGATTGGGCGACGGGCAATTGCAATGCTGAGTGTATCGATCTTCTCGATGTACCCTGCCGAGGGCTGTGCTGTGCTGCACCGTTCTGAATTGCGATGAGCCATGCCGCGAGTGTGCTCTATAGCGTATTGGATCGAGTCCTCCTTTGCATCCGAGTCCTGACCGAACTGATCTGGATCTTAAGCTCGAGCTGCCTCAGCACATAGTAGCTACCCCAGAGCTAATTGACAAGGGGAATATGCTAGGAGGACGCGCCGCGGAACGTCCCAAGGGACGCGCCAGGCGACGCGCCAAGGGACGTGCCATGGGGACGCACCGCGGGACGTGCCAAAGGGACGCGCTACGGAACGTGCCAATGGACGTGCCACGGGACGTGCCAAGGGACGCGTCGCGTGACGTACCCTGGTCTCGCCACGTGACGCGAGTGTCTCGTGGCCCCTATGCCGTTCCGTGCCAAAATACGTGCCAGGTTGCAAGTGGCCGAAAAAGTAAAAGTAACGCCGCGGATTGAATTGACCAAAAAAAGTGTATCGATCTTGATGTACCGTGCCGAGGGCTGTGCTGGGGCCTCCTGGGGCCTCCTGGGGCGTTAGGAACAATGTGTTGTCGCGTTTCTCCCGTCCTGGGGCGTTAGGAACTCATCTGTGTTCACGCTTGTCCCGCCCTGGGGCGTTAGGAACCTATGTGTTTTCACGCTTGTCCCGCCCTCGGGCGCTAGGAACCCATGTGATTTCACGCTTCTCCCGCCCTGGGGCGTTAGAAACCCATGTGTCGTCACGCTTCTCCCGCCCTGGGGCGTTAGAAACCCATGTGTTGTCACGCTTCTCCCGCCCTGGGGCGTTAGGAACCCATTTGTGTTTGCGCTTCTCCCGCCGTGGGGCGGTAATTAGGAACCAGTGTTTTCACGCTTCTCCCGCCCTGGGGCGTTAGGAAGCAATGTGTTCACACTTCTCCCGCCCTGTGGTGTTAGGAACCCATGTGTTTTCACGCTTGTCCCGCCCTGGGGCGCTAGGAACCATGTGTGTTCAGGCTTCTCGAGCCTCCTGGGGCGTCCTGGGGAGCGGGGGGAAGCGAAAAGCGCTCCCCAACGAATGTCCCAATACAGAACGTAACAACCATGTTAGATACCCCTGGATTGCCTGGACACTTAAAAACACATGGTTCCAACTCGGAACAACCATGTTAGATATCCCCCTGGGTGGCCTGGGCATGTAAAAACACATGGTTACAGCTCGGGTCAACCGTGCTAGATACCCCCCTGTGTGGCCTGGATACGCTGGATCCGCGCTCCCGCTCGAGACATCCTCGCATTGTCTTCCCTGAAGAGGCCTCCAAAGCGCCACCCCCTGTCCAGAGCAAGAACACATAACTTCTCTGTATTGGGATATGTGTTCGGGTAGCGCGTTTCGGCCCCCCGTGCGCTTCCTGATAATTCGGCGTTGGGCCCGACGCCATGTTAGATACCCCCCTGGGCGGCCTGGACACGTAAAAACACGTGGTTCCAGCTCGGAACAACCATGTTAGATATCCCCCTGGGTGGCCTGGGCATGTAAAAACACATGGATCCAGCTCTGGGCAACCATGTTAGATACACCCCTGGGTGGCCTGGACACGTCAAAACACGTGGTCCTTGCTCGGGACAACCATGTTAGATACCCCCTGGGTGGCCTGGAAACGTACAAACACCTGGTGTCAGCTCTGGGCAAGTATGACACCCCTGGGTGGCCTGGACACGCAAAAACCACGTGGTCCTTGCTCGGGACAATCATGTTAGATACCCCCAGGTGGCCTGGACACGTGAAAACACTTGGTGTCAGCTCGGGACATCCATGTTGGATACACCCCTGAGTGGCCTGGACACGTTAAAACACGTGGTCCTTGCTCGGGGCAATCATGTTAGATCCCCTGGGTGTCATGGACACGGAAAAAAACACGTGGTCCCAGTTCGGGACAATCGTGGTAGATACCCCACTGGGTGACATAAAAACACGTGGTGCCAGCTCGGGACAACCGTGTCAAATACCCTCCTGAGTGACCTGGGCCCTCGTGGGGCCTCCTGGAGAAGGCCGATCTAAAAAACATACGGAAACAAACACACAGATCTGTGCCCCTGGAGAGGGCCAATATATGGGAACACATGTTAAAACACACAGATTCGTGCCCCTGAGCCAAATGTGTCCCGCACCCTGTGCTTTATCGATCGGAATTTCAAAAACCAATGTTTCGCTCGGGACATCCTCAAACATTAAATCGCCGGCCCTACGCGACCTCGTTATTCATCGCAAATAAATTCGCCCGCATGCCGAGGTCCCCGAAAATCGATCCCCCAGACGGTGGTTACGGATAAACCCCCGCCTCGGATGATGGTTAGTGGTGACTGTGGTGAGAGAGTAACACACGCACTCAAACTTATGGGGAGGAGGAGTGGGGAAGGGTAAGGCGATGAAGGCGCTGTAGGTATAGGTGCGAGCTGTCGGACCCCGAAAGGGTCTCTCGTGCGAGCGGGGACACCCATCCGACAACACCCACCCGTAGCCGCGACGGAATTCCACCCCAGGAAATCTGGGAATGCCGATGTAGAAGAGAGAACGGCATAAGCATAAATGTTCGACGGTCCGCGCGGATTTCTTGGAGCTGCGCTGGGCCCCCCCTCCCTGGCGCGCGGAGCGCGCCAGGGGCGGCACAGGAAGCGCCGCCAGGGGGCCCCAGCGCGGACCCAAGAAATCCGCGCGGAGCGCCAAACGTGTATGCTTATGGCGTGTGTTACTCTTCCTAGTCATATAATTATGATTTTAATACTATTCGTATTATTATGATTAATAATACTAACAACATTACTAATATTATTAGTATTCCTCTTCTTCTTCTTCGTGAGAGAGAGTGGAGCGAGAGAGAGAGAGAGGGGGGGGGGAAAAAAGGAGTCTAGGGATGCTCGTTGTCAGCTCGTGGGCCAGGACGGTGGTCGCCAGTATCCGAGTCCGCCGCTGGGGCGCTGCGTGTGAGCGCGGGGCGGGGCCCTGCGGGGGCGGCCTCGCATGTGGAAGCCACCCGGCCCGGGGGGGCAGCACGCTGGGCAGAAGAGTTAGGTCGGGCATGTCCTCCTGCAGGCGGGTGCCGTGAGGAAAAAAGTGGCCAAAGAATAATCAATCGTTGTCAAAAGAACGCGAAAAATCGTCACCAGACTATTTCACTATTTTGGAATATTCCTCCTGCAGAGGGACATGCCCGGTGCAGTGCGGGGCCCGGGCTCGGTTGACCCGAGGCCTCTTCCTTGAGAGGCCGGGGGTTCCGCGATACGCTGGCCGCGCGCGCTCGCTGCGAGGGCCAGGCTGGCTGCCTCCTCCCAAGACTCGACCAAAACAGTGTTTTTCGTTTTCGTTGCGGTTTCGTTTTCCTCGTTTTGTCTTCAATCCGCCTTTGCTGCAAAGCGGAATCGAAACGAAAACGGCCCACGAAGTCGCCAAAACACCGTTTGGGCTGACCCCTGCCTCCTTCCTCTTCCTCCCTCTTCCTCCCTCTTCCTCCCTCCTCCCTCCTGCCCTCTGCCTCCTCCCTCCTGCCTCCTCCCCATTCCCTCTTCCTCCCTCCTCGTCCCTCCACGATCCATTTCCTCAAAGATAACCCCTCCCTGTCGCACCCACAGACGTGTCGGTAGGGTGGAGCGGGCGATTCACTCGAGATGTCGTCGCCACGCGCCATCCGGAATAATTTGAAGTTCGCAGCAATGGCAAGGATGGAGAGCAGGTGGTTGTCAAAATGAGGTTCTCGGCTTGGCGCAGCGCGCATTAGCACTATAAGCTTGCAGCGGTTACTCAAGGATGGAGGGCGGGTGGCTTCCAAAATGGTGCTCTGACCTATTCGTCTGAACAGTTCGCGACAGGTGGGCCCAGGGGCACAGGTTGTCGTCGACATGGGGCTCTCGCCTTCAACTGCTGCAACCCCTGCAAGCACGGAACGCCTATCGTTTTCAAAATGAAGCTGTCGCCGTCGAGCCGCGCACAGCCGTCTTGTCAATGTGCAACATTTCTAACAATGGAAGGTGGTTCCTTTTACAAATGGGCTCTCGACGTAGCGCCGCGCACATTTGTCTTCAAATATTGCAACACATACAATGAAGAACGACGATTACTGTTCAACCCCGGGGCGTCGCTGAATACTTCCTTACGTGAACAGCCAGAAAGTTCCAACACGTGTAACAACTGCACGGAAAGAGGACGAGTCATTTTCATAGTGGGGCTCTCTGCTCGAGACTTCCTCTATATGCACAACCAGAAATGCAAAACTTGCGCAACAAGTACACATCTACTACGGCGAGGAGAACGTCGGCAGTCGACACAGATGGTCAGATGCAGATGCGGACC